CTAATGCGAAAAATTATCGGTTGGATCCTGTGGTGCCGTTGGTGGTGCCTCTAGTTAATGCGGGGCATATTGAGGTGATTCCGGCACTAAGAAAACATTACGGGCTTGGTAAGGGGATGATTGTGTGCAATTCAAATTGTGCAGTTGTCGGCTTGGTTATTCCAGCAAAGGCACTTATTCTGAAGTTTGGGCCAATTGAGTCGGTGAGCATGGTGACTATGCAGGCTGTCTCGGGAGCGGGCTATCCTGGCGTCAGCAGTAAGCGCTACCACCAAGTGTGTCCCATCCTGCTACTACATCACACGCCTAACTGATCGTTACAGGCATGGACATCTTTGATAACATCGTTCCCTACATACCAGGCGAGGAAGGCAAGATCTCCTCTGAAGCGCGCAAAATTCTAGGCGATTTGAAGTCGGATCTCGCTGGATTCAACGACCAAAAACCCCTTCAAATTTCCGTTGCGTGTAACCGTGTCCCAGTGCTCGATGGCCATACCGTGTGTGCATCGTTGCGGTTCGTGAACCGACCCTCACCAACTGCGAGCCAGGTACGTGATGCATTGAGAGAGTATACATCAGAGGTTCAAAAAATAGGGTGCCCTTCCGCTCCAAAACACGCTATTCATGTTCTGGATGATGTGGATCGGCCGCAGCCTCGCCTTGACAGAGACACTGAACGGGGGTACGCGTGCAGCGTGGGGAGGATTAGAGAGGATGACAGTGGGGTCTTTGATATTCAATTTGTTGCTCTTAGTCATAATACGATTTTGGGGGCGTCAGGTAGTAGTATTCTAAACGTGAGTTTTGTAACCTTATTCTAATCCTATTATTAGAGCACTTAAATAAATGCTAACATTTCCATGCACCAATTCTAGGCGGAGAGTGCGATTCTGAAGGGTTACGTGTAGTCTACTCTCCCGGCAGGTTTCTATTAGTCTAAGATCTGGCTGCAGTTTTACTCTGAAAAGACCTGGAAATATAGAAGAACTTCCCCGTATTCTTTAAGTTCGTTCTTTCCTCTGACTGACCAACATCTGTCCTCCCACAATTACCTTGTGGGTTTCCGCGGGAATCAGGTCATCAACGAACCTCTATCCCTCCCAGATGCTTGAACTCGTATATGCCAATTAGTGGCCACCGATAACTGAAACTACGCTTTTTCACTCTGCCGTCTGAATCTGGATTGAAAATTACCTCAAAAATGGCCCACAAGCCAGCTGCACCCGAAATTTTTTGGGTAGAAATAACACATCTGAAAAACCTACAGCTTACTATCAAGCCCTAGTGGTATACTGCCTTCTTCTTGGAATAATGATACCATGGTGAGAGAATGAGCCCCTTCGACATGTGGTTACAGTTCAGTATTCAAACAACTTAACAGCCGTAAATACCTCTCCACTGAGCCGCGTGCTCATGCAAGTCAAGGGTATTGTCCATTCGGCCGGACGTCGGCTGCACGGTGGCCGTAAGATGAGTTCCTTTATTTTATTTTTTTATCCCTCTTGTCGTCTTTGTCCAATCCGTTACATCTCGTCTTCCAATTGACCTGCCAACATAGCTGCTATCAGGGTATCGAGAGTTAGACATTCGTGGCTCCGCATCGTGTTGCAAACTGTGTCGAATGAGAAGCAAGATATTTCCAATTAACTAATTTTTCGTAGGATTTGAAAGTTGGTAGCTGTGAACTATCATTGCTTTTTGACTAAGCTGCTAATGTACAACAAATCAGAATTATATAAAGTCAAGCACCACGTATACTTGGAATATCGTTAGGACAATCAGAGTTTTCCTTTATCATAGGATTGATTGAATTCATGAAATTGCTTCCAACAACCATGAATACGTCAGACCCTCCCGGCACGTGATTTATTTTCCGTCATATAGTAGAAAAAACATACAAGAAGGGTGAGAAAAAAGATGCATCTTGTTTTTATAAATAGCTGCAAAAATCTATGGTAGCATAATATTGAGTGCTTCCCTCCCACGATGAGTGGGGGTGTCGGACCCTTTCCATCAAGTGTCTTATTTTTCTTTATATAAGTTAGTTGTTTCTTGTAACTAGTTAGCAACCTGGTGCAATCAATCAAGCTTGCCATTGTGTCATTATGTTTTGTCTCGTCACGTTATGGGCGGCAATGCCGGCAAGGGAGATGTATATTGCCCGAGTTGTTCCCTCGGCTTATTCTCCTGCCGTTTTCAAACCCGTTCCCCGGCCTTTGTGGCGGGAGAGTCGCTTATAAATCTCAAAAAGTCTTTCGGCCGACGAACCCATTCTGCCAGAACTATGAGGGATTATCCCTCAATATCTACCAAACGTTACAAACTGGGTAATGTTTTATGAATTTGCCTCCATTTCCTTTGAACTCGGCAATTGTTAGTCAAGCTTATGTTAGAATATTGGATCTCATAATAGTTTTACCAGACGTAAGCATATAGTAGGCTTGGGTGTGAAAATGAATAACCAATGACTATAAAAGCTGGGTGAAATCCGCAACACATATTATGAACTAGCGGAGCAGAGTTGAAGAACAAGTGATTATTCACTTAATTGCCATTCCCACTTGACATAAAGCTTCAGAAGCCGCTTCACACACAAAAATGAAACTCCCACTTCTAGTGTCTGCATTCTTCTGGCTAGCTCCTGTGATGATCTTTGCGTTGCCCCCTGGATTATGGCAAAAATGCGCTTCTACTTTGAGTGTACATTATTGACATTGTCCCACTCCTTTTATCACATACCCTTTGAAAATATAGCTAACGTAGTATCTTTAGTGCCAGAATACTTGGGAATGTCAGCAAACATATGACTGTTGGCAGAAGGCTCTTGTAAGTAATATTACATTTTCTCTTCACTGTGCTTGATTGAAAGTCTACAATGTTTAAGAATGAAAATATCTAATCTGACATTTCCATGAAATGCAGTACCATAGATTAGATTATATCTTCTGTAATCTTGGTATAATTGAAACACACACATGCTGGGTTTACGCGGTAAGTTCATACTCTTATCTGATGTTAAAAAAATAAAAATGAAAGAAGAGAAGACTAATAGTTTTGTTTGATTAACAGAAAATCTGATACTGTTAAGAAGATGACACCGAGACGGGGAGCCAACGGTGCCGTCGCGTGGGTGGTTTGATGGGAAGCTGAATGAGGAGGCTGGCAACTAGCTATGAGAGCAGATGAGTTTTATGTCCTAGATCTTGAAGTGTGATGCCAAGACTTCTCGTACTAGATGAACTTCACACCGCTATTTCCGGGGGTAAAACCTTAATTGTCGCACTCTTGAATCCTCTGAATTTCTTTCAAGAGATTCGGTGATTAGCTACTATTCAATCCTACATCTATGTTTTCACTTATCACTGTCCTCTTTTCTTCTCAGCGCTCCCAGCGCCTATTCTTCTACTCTCTTATGATGATATTAGTTATAGTGAGTGGCTCTTACATGCTTCTTTTTGACCCTTAGTTCATTCACATCAAGTGTCCTCACGTGAAGGAAAAATCTAAGTGATCAGAAGATATGAGATGATTTAGATAGAGATTTGTATACATCTTCAGTGAATCTGATATATTTGAGAATGAATTGCTGTTACGGCGCAGCTGCTTGGGGTGTGTCGCTGGTATCTTCTGTTCCTTTCTTTGTGGCGTTCGTAATGGCGTGGTATGAATTAAGGTTGATCCGCTCCGCTCTGCTCCGAAAGGTTGATCCGCTCCGTTTCCCAACCACCACCATTCATTCCTCATTCTAATCCCCAGTTTAGTATTCTCCGTCGCAGCTGCCTAGTTAGATAGATGAATCGAAGCTTTTGTCTTGTTATCATCTTGACTCGAGATTGAGCCATGACAGTTCCAACCTTGATCCCGTAGTCTACGGAGGTTTAAGGTGCAGGGACCTTAGGCCACGTGCTCTATTTCCACAGGTATCTTTTCTGCCGTGCCTAGGCAAACTTTGGTGAGGGCGGTGTGGGGAGGTACCCAGTGAGACTGAAAGAAAATCAAAACTGACAAGAGTTTTTTCATATGAGATAAAATGCGTCTTATACGGCGCAGCCGCCTGTATATGGATTAAGGTTGATCCGCTCCGATCCCCAACCACCTCTTATATATTCGGCTGCTTGTTTCATTCCACATTCTAATCCTCAGTTTAGTTATTCTCGTCGCAGCTGCCTGTGACGGCATAGAACGGGCTCCGTCCAGACTACTCGACAGCGTTAAGGCCACTGGGCTGAAAAGGGTAATAATTGCAACTGCCTAGCAACGGCATAGCAACCAACCCCACAATTACCCCGTAAACAAATACCCCGTAAACACGGGAACCGCCTAGCAACGACCTAGCAACTGCGCTAAGGAAAGGGGTATATAAAGAGAGCCTTCCCCGAACCCTTCTTTTGGGAACCGTCTTAGTATTCTGTCAAGATAGCTTACCTAGCTGGCAATCAAACACCTGTTTCACCTGCGCCTAGATTGCAGCCGTGACAATGCAGATAAACAGATGTTCAATTGTCAACTAGATAAATTATCTCATTAAAATACTCAGATGATCTATAGAACAGAGAGGCCTGGGGAAGGGATCCTCTTATATCTATACCCCTTTTCCACTAGCGGTTGCTACGCCGTTGCTAGGCAGTTTCTGTGGGGTATTTTATTGTGTTTACCGGGTAGTTGTTTGCGGGGTGGTTTGTGGGGTGGTTGCTATGCCTTTTGCTAGGCGCGGCTTGCCAACGCTGCCATGGTCAATAGCGCCGTCACAATGATCCCTGTACTCACCTAGTCGCTTAGTCAGCATCGCACATTCTCTTTCAGGTGTTTACACCACCACCACCACCACCACCACCGATTTTACTAGCAGTTGGAAAATCGATGCAAGGAATATACAGCTCAGTTTGATACAACATTAGCTGTTGAGATATCCTGGCACCATAGTTCAACGAACTTTGCAATTCACTCCCTTGCTTCCCCCGTCCCACATCTATTGCTGCATGTGCCATAACATCGCATATGGCCAACCTTTCGCCTCATGATTACGATATCATCGCAAAGCATCCCTTTAATGACTCGCTAAATCAGCTGCAAGGCCCACTTCGGGAGGCAGAGCAAACGTATGATGTCTCAGCTGATCCTCAGAATGAAATCTGCCAAAAGGCAATATCAAAACTTCTTGCTTTTTTTCTGAGGCAAGAGATAACTCTTGGCCTTCAATCAGAAATAAGTAATCATGACGTGGTTTCTGAGCTTGTAGATATCTTTGGACGCATTCGCAAGGGTGATGTGATTTCAACTACAACCACTTTCGACCGTTGGTGCAGCTTGTCATCCAAAACGCATCAGATGTTGATATCTGCAAGGCTGTCCTTGATCTCACAGCTACCATCCCACAATCAACTCCACTGGCAAGCGTCCCCCCTACCTTTTATGGCACGCCAGTCCAACAATTCATCTCATCATCACAGAGAGACTCCGAGCAGACACGCGAGTTGGTGAATATGAGAATCTTTGGGGAGATAATGTGACTGCACATTTCAGGATGTCAAGGGCTTCTTCAACAAGTACTTTGAGGGAAAAGTCTGGAGTGACAAAGCAGATGCCATCTGTCAACGCATGCTAACCCCAGACAGTGATGAGAACTGGGCCCAGTTTCCTGATCCTCCTATGCAGAGTGATGTCCTTGCCTGGTGGCTTCATCTTCAAGGGGACCTTCTCTCAGAATCACACAGCATCTACTACACCACAGTGAGCAAAGCAGATCTTACTGATTCAAAGACAGAACAACGAGCTGACCTCCTTCTGAGAGCTAGAAGCACAAGCCTCTCACAAGGCAAACATGACTGGAGAGACATCCTGGTGATTGGTGAGCTGAAAATATCAGAGAAGGAGATCAGGACCAAAGATACATTGCTGCAGATAAGCTGCTATGTGCGTGATGTCTTTGCCACCCAACCCACCCGGCGGTTTGTCCACGCACGCATTCACCGTCTGCGGGACCAAAGATGGAGATGTGGGTGTTTGACCGCTCAGGCCCCTACAGCTCAGGCATCATTGATGTCAACACAGACCCAAGACAATTCCTTCAGGTGTTTGTGGGCTACACCATGATGAGTGATGAGGAGCTGGGACTGGACACCTTTATTGCTAGGAATGAAGATGGCAGCAAATCAATAATCATCAAAGAGCCTGAATCCTCAGAGGAAATGATACTGCAGCTGAGAAAAATGCTTTCCTTTCAGCATGCCATTGTGTGCCGTGGGACCACATGTTTTCTCACAGATGATGGAGAAGTGGAGGGTGTAGCCAAGCTCTCATGGGTATCAGATAAGTGGCACCCAGGGGTGGAACTCCTCAAGCTAGCAGCTCAAAAAAATGTCCAAGGGATTGCCAGGATTATTGGACACAGTACCATCACCAGCATAGCTGACATGCGCTGCGGCCTGACCTTCGACAACAAGCGCCATGACTTCAAAAGTGCATTCCTCAGTACAACCTCCTCATTTCATCCATCTCAGCCATCTGCTGGGTCCTGATACTTGAATATTCATCAAAAATCATCTTCCAGGAAATGCAGATATTCAGACAAGGAGATGCAAATGTCCAAACAATCACATTTCATCAATCAATCATCGAGGACCTCTCAGCAGAAGAATGAACTTGCTTTCTCCATTCAGTCAGTGCACAAGCCAAGTCTCTTTGACAGGAATGGCAAGGAACTCTATGACAATCGTGTTCTCCGCTGTCTGGTGATATCACCTGCTGGCCAGCCAATCTACAAGTACAAATCACCCTTGGAGCTACTCATGGCACTTCGTGATGCAATAAAGGCGCATCAGTCTCTTTTACCTGGATGGAAACATTCTTCATCAGGATATTCCAGAGAACAATATAATAATAACCAATCCTGAAAAGACAGGTGGTCACTCTGGCATGCTAATTGATCTGGATCTTGCCAAAGAAGTTGAAAGTGAGCAAAGCAGTGCACACTATCAGACTGACACAAAGAAGTTCATGGCAATTGAAGTGCTTCTTAATGTTGACCATACCTACCGGCATGATCTTGAGTCTTTCTTCTATGTGCTTATCTGGCAGTGTGCCCATCGCAGCTGGGAAAAACTAGATAAGTTACAGAGACAGAGATAGAGATAGGTCTTGTCGCAAGATAGTTTGCTGAAAGAATGGAATATTGGAGTTTATATGAAAATTGTAAGAATTAAGCGAAGTGACATGTAAGCTGATGGATTGGAATACCTTCTGCAGGAGTTCCCACTGGAATTGGAGTGTGTCAAACACCTCTGCAGGACCATACGAGACATAGTGTTTCCTTATGGCAAGGAAGGAATTATTATTGGAACACCCACAAGACCCAAAAGTGCTATATGATCCTATTATTAAGGCGTATGATGATGCGATAACTCTGATTGAAGCTGAATATATATGTTTAATGACTGCTCTGTTATGATGAATAAGTACTGTTTATGTTAGTTAGCCTGCTTAATGTGTACTGTTTGATTTATATCAGTTTGTTTCTCATAGTTCCTTTTCTGCTTCATCATCACACTGTACAAATGACTAAACCATTTTACAACCCAAGACAATAGTGGTTTGAGCACAGTTTCATCATAAAACCTCAAATCACCTGAAAGTCATGGTGGACAATACATTGGCAAAGTGCATAAGTACATCATTTAAATGCAGTGTGGTGGCATGTGAGAACACTTGATGTATGAAAAAGCACTATAGCTAAAATGACATCTGTCGCAATTCTGCCACGAGTACAGCCTGAAACAACTTTTTTTTTTTTGACTTTCTTTCTTTTTTCTTTCTTTTCTTTACTTTTAATTTTGGTCAATAGCAAATGCGGCTCGGCTGCCCCTTATTTGCAGAGCGAAGCGAGCAAATACAAGGTGTACGTATTCCTAATTTGGATAGAAGATGCTTCCATGGCAAATCTGTTAATCCCTTATGAATTTTTAATAAGAACTAGTGCTTCCTCTGCAATATGTTAGCACATCAAGGCGAATATGAACTTGTGCCTCATTTCTGATCAGTGTATTCCACAGTGCTATGAAAGAGACATTGTCTCTGTCGACATCTTCTCCTAAACATTGGCTTGGCGTGTAATCGTTTTCGACTCTGGTGTGACTTTCAGACTCCGGCATTTAATATACAGCTTGGACAGGGAAAAAGTTCGTCTGGCCTTTGCAGTGGATTGTTTTCAAGTGTCAGCTGTGGCAGTTCCATATTGAGTGTAAACGGAGGCAGATGCCTGAGTTGTTCAGCATCTATTTCAGTCACTCTGTTGATTCAAGAAATTTTGGAGTTGATTTTTATTTTTGAATTTTTGAATTACCGTCCTTCTGCACTTTTGATCTTTTATCTTTTATCTTTCTCTTTCTTTACTGAATCACTACTTTCTTTACTACTTTCGTTGTTGCACGGAAGCTTTTATTCTATCCGTCAAATTTGTCCCCAGTCGCTCCAAGTTGCTAGAACGGGCACTCTTACTCCGGTACACAAGTTCTTACCATAGACCACGTTTGAGAACAATGTGGTAGACTCCGTAGAGTACGGTTTTTAGAAACTGTAGATGTTATCTTTTAAAGTCAAGCCTAGTCGATTTGGTCTCTTCGTTCGAACATGATTATGGGCCAACACGGCTGAATAGAAAAGTAAATATCCCAGGTCCATACAGGAACAGTGGACTAGGCCATATGATCTAGCCTAGGACCTTACCATGTGGTTGTGAAGATCTTAGTGCTGGGACGGGGGTAGGAGAGTTAAATAAGTTGCAGGAGAAATGGAGTGCCGAAATGAATTGCAAGGGTTAGAGTTGAATTGCAGGAGAATTGAATTTGCAGGAGAAACACCTCAAAGCAGGAATCTCACGGTTCTCCCAAGAGTCCTTGATGTTCAAGACATGGACCTTACTGGGTTATGCCCCCCCCCTTGTGCAGGTCATTCTCCTCTGAGCTCTCAACGCCCTCAATGAGGGATGAACCAGATGCTTCTTCAGTATGCTGTGCTAGTTAGCATTGCCAATCTAACCCAGAAAGCTAGCATTCTTCTGATTAAAGAACTGGAAGATGATGTCAACTGACTGCCGTGTTCCTCCCATCGAAGAAGATGACAATATAGGGGAAATCCTTGCAGTAGTTATATGGAGGGATATACTATTAACCCTGCAACCCCTTTTTCTCCCTTAGGTTGTTTTTGGTCTGAATCTTCTGACGCTACCCCAAGGACTTTTGTTTACAGTGGTTTGCACTATGCATATATCTACAGAATGCAAGACACCAGATGATTAATCTGTTGCATTAAATTGTTTGTGACTTATCAATAATATCATATGAGCAGGGCCTATCCATCACTAAGAACGGGGGATGATGAATAATAGTCAAGACTATATAAATCACAGAATTATGAGCCAGTCAAATAAATATATGCTTCAGTTCTCATGAAATGCTCTCTCAGTTCGAAATTTCCTCCTGTTGCTCAGCCCATGTAGCAATGTCACTTACAAAACGCCGGTCTATGCCTTCACAGCCTCATCTCGAGGGCCAAAGGATCTTGGGGAAATCGAGATAATAATGAGTAGTTGCATACAAATGTCGACTAGCAGGTATTGCTGTGAAGATGGGGTAAAGGGATAATATATAACCGCTTGTTCCGAAGCCACAATAGTTCATCTGGTTACAAAATTGCAAAAGGGAAACGCAAAGGCAGACGAGGACAGGAGGAATTGTAAATGATCCGTAAGATGAGTGGGGGCTTTCAGGCACACATGAAACCCCCCTCTTGCCCTCGTTGCCAGGCGAAAACCAAGATGGCTGTGAGCCCGGTGGCAGACAGCCACCCGGGGCGCTGGGTTCACTGGTGCCGACTCGTGTCGCGGATTGTGCGAGCATCCTGTACTTGGGCGAATGGGTAATGGTTCCGTGCGCACACTCCTCAAGGAGCAGAAGATATCTTTCAGGGTTTTTAGCCCCACATTGCAGATTTTGCAATCCATCAGCCGAAACTTCTTCACATGCCGCCTCTGGAAGTGTTTGGTCAGATCCCCTGGTTCCTGGAATGAATAGACTCAGTCTTCCAGCAAGAGTTTGGTGTTCTGCAAACAAAGAAAGCAAATTTTGGGTCACCGTTCCGTCCGGACCTCTTGAACGGACGACTCAAGGAGCGCGGTCGATAATGGCTGGTCCATCACTCCCGCCTTAACGGCCGTTAGCTCCACGGTGGTCGGCCTGGGCTTGGAGCCATAACCACGTCGACGGCAGAGCGGCCCCTCTTCAGCACCGCAGTATGCACTGACGGTGTGAAGGGCGGTGATCCGTCGTTGCAGTTCCGCCTCTGGGGTCTTTAATGGCAGCATTAGGGCCGCATCGATTATGATCATCTATTCAGGCTCATGTACTCAGAATATCCCAGCTTACCTCTCACATCCTCATGGACGACCTTTCCGGAGAGCTGCCGCTAGCTGTTGATCACTAGATGTTCCTGTCAGTATTGCTCTAGAATCTCATGCCTGAGCTCGATCCTCGCGCGTTGCTTCTCGCTGCGGAGCCGGCGAACGGCCTTATGATATCTCTCATCCCGCCTCTCGTGCTTCTCAACCCGGCCCCTATATTTGTCTTCCCATTGTCAGTCTTTCTCAGTCTTTCGCCGGTACTTCTGTCCCATACGACTGTGGAGCAAGCGTGCAGTAGCGTCACGGCGCTTCTTCATGCATTTGACTGACCCGGAAGTCTTCAGAATGCGCGCCTGGTGGTTTACCAATCTCGACTGCTCCGGCGTCAGCTTCCAGGGTCAGCAGAAGTTGATGGACCAGCTCATCAAGCACACCACCCTCATCAGCACCTTCTGCAGTTTGCGGCCATGGTAGATGCTGAGGACATCAGTGGTGATGTTTCAGTCCAGATCGTGTTTGAGAAATGTATCAATACTGGCGTGCTGGAGCATCAGGTTCTGGAGAGAATCACTCACATCCTCTGTTTGACAATGCCAACATCAACAAGCATGCTCACTCTTGAAAAGGGATCGGGAGGGAAGGACAGTTAGACACTCGCGGCTCTTGTTGAAACCCTTCACCACTGCATCACAGAGAACATACAGCTTTGTAACCTGCTGGAAGCCTATGATCTCGCCACTCTTTTTCATTTGAGTCTGCACTGAAGCTGTGGTCAACCGGATCTCATGTGTAATGCAGATGGTATCTCTTTCATGGACAGTTGAGCAGAAGATGAACTGATCTGTCAGATCATCATGCAGTGAGAGCTTTTGCTGATTGAGCCCATTCAGAACACGCAGGCTGTAGAGATCCTCAGGGTGTTTGATGCCTTGTGACTTGAATGCCTGGATGTGAAACAGCAGCCCCAGGAGGAAGGCATGTGGACTGAGCACCAGAGTTGGGTAGTAGATGATCTCCGGAATTCAAAAAGTGTTCCTGGACGAGGAGCTAGTCGGCTCATGAAGAAACAAACAGCCACGGAGCATGGGGGAATCGTACACATCCTACATGCCCAGGAAGGTCTTGGTGAAGTGGGCGGTCAGCCCAACTCACAGAGGAGGTACACTGAAATGGGGGTCCCGGACCAGCGTGAGCTCCATACCATGATACTGAAGCTGGGTCAAAGCATCTGGTTGACTACCCGTGATACCCGTGACCTGACAGAAGAGGATCAGCTCACCACGCAGCCAACTGACCAAGAACTCCATCCCGTTCATTGCCAGAAGCACGTGGAGGTACTCCGCCAGGTCGTCAACGTACATGGGCTCCCCGGGCCTCTTCTCGTGGTTGAGCTTCTTCTCATCAGCGACGAGCTCGATCACCTGCCACAAATAGTTTAGACGGAGATACCAAAAAGGAGAGTATCCGATACCAGGGAAGGAGCCACATTACATTCTGTGCTTGAGCCATGATCAGAGGATTGATTCTGTCACCCGTGTCTTGCTTAGAGCTGACGGCTTGGATCCCCGGCCACCTTCTTCCCCCTTTGCCATGACACTGGTCGCAAGCCCAGCTGAGGAACCCTTTTAAGGGATTGGATTGAGAGAGACCAGTAGACATCGAGCACATTCCTTCTCATGTACTCACACCTCCACAGTTAGCGGGATGTTTTGGGGCATGCTTGAGATCACACTCATCAGTGCCAGTGGTCTCAAACTCTATCCATGTTATCAACCGTCAATTTATTCAAGCAACACTACCAAAATTATCTCAACCTTATGTAATATTCAAGAGAAGGAAGCTTGTCATCTTCTGAGATCTCCTCATCACTGTAATCACTATCCTCACTCTCCTGACTGTCAGTCTCCTCGGTCCTGTCAGTATTGTCATACTGTGGTCTGAAAACATATCATCAGCGTATTCCAACTCGTTGTTGGAGAACTCGCTGCTCTCAGCCTCAGGGGAAGGAGGCATGCTATGAGTCAGGCAAAAAGGAGCCCCGCTGACAACGCTGGAGAGATCAGAGTGTGAATGGATGAGGATGAAAGGCAGAACAAGAGAGGAGAGGAAAAGTGATGCTGTGAAATGTATACAGAAAATAGCCGATGGGGACAATGTCAAGCTGGAATCATTCATTGATGATACTCGCGGATGAATCTGGAGTGAAACCAGAAGAGCAGAAGGCCGCCTATCTCCCATGTAGGGAAGATAGTGACTGGCAGATGGGAAAGGATCCATTTTGAGTGACCTGGCACGAAAGGAAGTGTGGCCTCTGGCTCGCTCGGGGTGAGGGAGGGTGAGGTGAGTGAAAACAGACTGGCAGAGGGAAGTGTTTCAAGGTTGGTGCGGCGGCATGAACCATCACACTGATTGTATGCGTGCATGTTGGAGGAAGGACGGCACACAATGGCTTTAGGACCAGCTTTTTCAGCCGCCCACTCGGCATCACATCGTTTAAACAAATAATATATTTAACTTTTATTAAATATAATAAATAAATATCAAAGCCAAGATATCCATCAAGCTTTTTGAAGTCCTCAGATGAACATTTTTGAGCAGCTTTGGCGGTTTTGGCGTGTTTGGTGGTGAGCAGCCGGGAAAACCATTTAACTGCCAGAGACAGAGGTGTTAACCCTTCGCTAACTTCCAGATGATTTCCAAGGATTCTGCGGGGCCTAGCGGGCGACCGCATACATAGAGATAGAAGAACACAGAAGATTCAACACAGAGAACTGCTTGAGTTTGTTCCTGTTAAAGGATACCAAATTGTTGAGATATAGAGTTGGAGAAAGGAACAGTGATAGACTTCCAATAACACTGACCTATGACTGTCTTTTATCCAAAGGCTATCAAACTATCTGATGATCGTCCTGGTTCTTAAGAAATTATTTATATTTAAAAGTAATTTTAAAAACAATAATAAATTTATTATAGATATTAAAAATATAATAAAATTTCTATTAAATAAAGCTTTTTAAAAGTAATAAATAATTAAAATTATAAAAATTTCTATATCTTAATTTTTCAATTTAATATAGTTTAAAATATTTATTAAAATAAAAAATTATAGTTTAAATTATATTTTTAAAGTATATATTAAATTTATATTACTTTTAAATATAAATAAATTTTTAATTAAGTATCTAATAATTTCTTATTATATTTAATAAAAGTTAAAAAGTCAATATATTTTATATAAATAAAGACTTTCAGTAATTGAATAATTTAAGCAACTGATAAATATTCATATGATATAAGAAATTAAAAGCTAAAAGTTTAAATCTAATAAGATATAATAGTATTTAAAAATCAAATATTAATTGATATACTTTAAAAGACATCTTATTCATATTTTTAATATTATTAATTAAGTTAACAGATTTTACTTTATATATAAAATATCATTATTTATAGATTAAAAATTATGTATTATAAGTTCTAGAATTAGATACTCATTAATACTTTTCTATGAAGTTTAGATTTGACTTATTTTAATATATAACTAAATATGATTTTAATATTTAAATTTTTAATATAACTTATATATATATTTAACTTTATATTTTGAATTTATTATAATTACTTACTGTTTTTAAATATAGAAAAGAAAAAAATAAAATAAATAAATAAAATAAATAAATATAAAAAATAATAATTTTTAATAACTAATATTTTTAATTATAAATATATATATATATATATATATATATATAATTGTAATGAGCGTGTTACTGAACATAGCCCTAGCACTTTCTTATAACAAAAAGACAAATTTATTAGAAGAAGAAAAGAAAAGAAGGCTGAAAGCTAAGAAAGTGAGTGCAGAGTTTTATATAAATCAGAGTAAAAAAAGAACAATCTGAATCTAATGTGATTTCAATTGTGAAAGATAATATCATCTAACTAGATACTAGTCTAATATAAAAATTATTAATTAAAATAAAAAATATTATTTAATACTTTATCATCAAAAAATTAAATTAATATAGTTATTTTTATTAAAAATAACTACTTTTTAAATTATATTTTAATTTAAAGTATAAATTTTTAATATTTATATTAATGTTATAAAATTTTAGTTTTTAATTATTTTAATAAATTATATAAATAAAGTTTTTTTTAATTTATCTATATTATAATATATTTGAATAATTATTTATATTTATTTTATTCAAAGAGATAGTATATAAAAAGTTTTTTATTTCAAATTAATATTTAAAAAAACTAGTTTTATTATAATTAAAAATGTATAATTTTTTTTAAAAGAATTTTGTTTTATATTAAATTATATTTTTTAAAAATTATAATTTAATTTTTTACTTACTAAATTTATATATATATTAAAATTATTTCAAATTTAGATCAATATTTATAGTAATTATATTCTTATTTTATAGAATATAAATTATTTACTTAAAATAATTATAATAGAAAAAAAAGTTAAAATAAAAATAACTTAAAATATATAACTTCTTAAATTCATATTATAAGTTTTTATTACAGAGAGTTAAAATTTATATTATATAAATATATAGAGCTAGTTATCTTTTAATTAATTAAAATTATAGTTCTATATGATATTTTAATTTAATATAATAAATTATACAGAAAATCTAATAAATAACTAATCACAAATTTCACTCTATGAAAATTTATTATAGCAAGGGTAAATTTACTGTATCAAAATAAAATGAAAGTATTTTTCTGCTGTTAACAAATTAGGTTAACTGCAAGGTATTTTTAACTAACGTTAACTAGTTAAAGTTAAGGCAATCAATCAATGAGCACTAGAGGATTGATGGTTCCACCAACTCGTGGAGTGGAACCGATAGTTAATTAGCACGTTAAGGCAGTTACTCCCTCTACAAGTTCCTTGATACTGTGCATAACGTCCCATGAGGTTGAAAGGTTGAAGAGAATAAACCTAAAAGAGTTGAAATATACGGAATCTAAACTCTCTTGTCTAACCGAGGTTTGTTGAAGTGGATATATATGTAATATGCAAAACAAAGAATCGTTAAAGTAGCCGAAGGGTATAAAGAAAAAATAATTGAAAATTGAAAAAATAAACTAATGCTATTTCATTTGTATGTTTTTGTTGCACATTTTGATTTGATTTATGGGTACATCTAGTCTAGATGACAAAAGGGAATAAAAAGGCATGAAAAATGTAGAACACGAGTCCATGAAAAACACATTCAAGCGTTATCAGGGGCAAAAATCATATAATAGCATAGCATGTGGGGGAAATGTAAAAGCTGGAAACAGAAATGGGAAAGAAATGGGAATGAAACCGAATAGGACAATAATAACGGAGGGGTCGTGGTACATACATTTCTAGAGAGAAATGGGGGAACGTGGGTATGGGCATCATCTCATCTACTTGGGAAATGGGAAAGGCATAAATAGAAGACAGGGAAAGTGACAGGGTGCAAAAAAGGGGCAAATATTTAAAAACACCCTGGTGGAAACAAATACATGAACTGAAATGGATATGTATGTAGTTGGGGGGAAAGGGGGTAAATAAAACAACAATCTTCAATGAAGAAACAACATCTGTCTGTCATGGGAGAAGAATCGATAGAATCGATGAAGCCGAAGCGTGATCCCTAGACGGCAATGGCAAAGACGGAGTGCCAGGCCGGACCAGCCATGCAGAAATGCAAAAGCAATTTTCGTCATGAGTTTGCTATGTGATGTGGTAAATGGTCAGATCAAAAGAAATGAAAAATGAAAAAATGGCAGAAGACCCGATGGCATGGAATATGGCGTGAGGCGTGAGCATGTGCATGTAAATCTTCACCTGCATTCTGTAATCATAGGGATCCAGAGGCCCACATCCAATGATACAGAAATCAATCGACACTTTGGTGGCAATGGGTGTGAAGCGAGATATCGTATAACAATCACCGTATCCAAGGTTACCACTAGCTTGGAGTAAATGGCTATGCAGATGAACTCAAGAAAGTAAAAAAGGGCTGTTGATAGGACAGACAGATGATCGGTGGAAAATGCCACAGAATGGGAGCAGTTATGAAAGAAAAAATACCAAAAAAATAGAACAAATAGAAAAGAAGAAAAAGAAAATAAAATGAGGTTATTTCGGAGTTTCATCCCGGAGAGATGCTGGACGGGTGAATGGGGAATAATGATATATGTCGTATGTCGTCCACTTGGGGAAGAAGGTATCGATAGGATAACCATGACTGTTTCCTTTTCTTGACACAGGTAGATCTCTAGAAAGGCAAAGAGGAAAACAATTTCTCTCCGTCATGGCGTACAAAAGAAAATTAAGATTTTTGCTCAGGGGACATGATATGGCTTGTTATGCCCGAATGTGGTGTATCAAAAGATAGATATGCAAAGTGATGTTACCAAGACGACAAAATCAAAATAGATCAATTTTGAAGTCTGAATCGGGGGAATCTGCTGGCTTGTTCAGACGAATCTTTCTCCCCAACCCAAGACTTCTCTCTTACCACACCATCAAAAGGTGCGCTTTTTCGCGTCGTCGTGAAGTCTAGACCGTGACTGAAAATTCTTCATGACTCGTTTCGTCGTGAAATTCTGATTGTACATTTGTGAACAAAGAGGAAACAAAATGAAGACAGGAAAATCGTGATGGGTAAACTTATGAAGGCGATTCCAGAGCTCACTGCTTCCGGATGAGGCGTTCTGACAAAATGGTGAGAGCGAATTATCCATAAAAGGGGAATCCCTGAGATGGAAATCTGTTTCTTCCATCCACACCTTGTGGGATGGGGCTGTAAATGGTTGGTACAATCTCCTCGTTGTTGTTGCTGTTGTTGCCACTCCGTGTCGGGGGAGTAAATACGTTATGATTTGCCAGACCGTTGCCATTGCTTCCAGGCACCGCGGTGGAAGAGTTCTTGTTTATCATATCATTGTTGCCGTTCTCAGCAACACCAAAAGCTGATGGATACTGAGGATGAAGGGAAGTAGGGTAAGAATGC